CATGATTAGGCATGGGAATTTTTTTCGATATATCGATAGGTATCGATAGTTATCGATATATCGAATAACAATAGGTAGAGCTAAAAAAATCGATATATCGATAGATCGATAACTATCGATATATCGATACTTATCGATAAGTATCGATATATCGATACCTATCGATATGTCGATAACTATCGATGTATCGATATGTCGATAACTATCGATATATCGATAACTATCGATATATCGATAACTATCGATATATCGATAACTATTGATATATCGATAACTATCGATATATCGATAACTATCGATATATCGATAGGTCGATAACTATCGATATATCGATAACTATTGATATATCGATATGTCGATAACTGTACGATAAAATTATGTTATTGTTGAGATTTCAACGAGCGCTACTATTTTTATTAATAAAATCCATTTTCGGGTTTACTCTCGTGTAAATTTACTATTTTTAGTCGCTCGACGTTTCGGAAACTTAACTTTGCTCCCTTTCTCAAGAGAAGCGCTACGTCACATCATCATCCATGCCAAATAAACGCAGTAATAAAATCTTTAGAAAATAGATCTTTTCGTCTTACTGACGATTGCTCAAAAAAAGAAGCACTTCAAAAACTTGAACAAAATGTTGCATCAAAATGGCTACTCTTTAGGTAAAATAAAGAAGACAATCAAAGGGTGTAATCATGGCCTATGTATCGGTATCTGACTGATGGTTACAGAGGACCAGTCACAAAAAAAACAGAAAAAGCTAAGAACACTTTAAATTTAGATATACAGTTTCAATTGATTGACATTTACGAAATCTAACAAAAAAACTCTTGATAAAGGTAGCAAAGAAACGTCGAGTAACTATTAATAGTCACTTTACACGAGAATAAACCGGAAAATGGATTTTATTAATAAAACTCGATAAGATAACTATCCCTGTCGATAACTATCGATACGTCGAATATTTCTCTCAAATGAGACGTGCAATTACCGCTTAATTACAGCGGTAATTGCATTGTAGAAAGCTAAAGAGCCCTGCGATAATTGCACAGTTAATATGGTAACTCCAATAAAGTTGCAAGAACTGCATTCGGTTATTTTTATATTTTGTTAAAAGAGCCCTCTTGTCTTGTCGGGCTCTTTCGCCAAAATATAAAAGTAAACTCATGCAGTTTTTAGACATGCTTTCAAAAAAATTATCGGTAATATTATATCGATACCTATATATTAAAAACTATCGCCATAACGAGAACTATCGATATACCGATACTTATCGATATAGCGGTAGTTATCGATCTTTCGATAGTTATCGGTGTATCTATAACCATCGATATTTCGATAATTATCGGCATATCGATAAGTAAAATATATCGATACTTATATCGATAGGTGAAAACAGTTATCGCCCATCCCTAGCGATAACTATCGATATATCGATAACTATCGACATATCGATATATCGATACCTATCGATAGTAATCATTTATCGATAACTATCGATATATCGATAACTATCGATATATTGATAACTATCGAAATATCGATAACTATCGATATATCGATAACTTTATCGATATATCGATAACTATCGACATATCGATAACTATCGACATATCGATAACTATCGATATTTCGATAATTATCGACATATCGATAAGTAAAATATATCGATAGGTAAGTACCCGATACTTATCGATAGGTGAAAATAGTTATCGCCCATCCCCTACTCATGGATCCCTTTTTTTGACAACGCTAATCTCTGTTTGGCCCGCACTGTTGAGGCGTACTTAGATGCAACACGTGGCCTTCGAAACGAAGAGGATTTTCTGTTTCTAACCTTTAAGAAACCCCACAGAGTTGCCACGAAACAGACGCTTAGTCGTTGGGTGAAGGAGATTCTTCACTTAGCGGGAGTAGACACCAACCAGTTCAAATCCCACTCGGCACGCCACGCATCGACTTCAGCGGCGTGTAGACTAGGAGTCCCCATTGAGCAAATTAAACAGACAGCGGGATGGAGTAAGGATTCCGAAACTTTTGCTCGCTTCTACAATCGTCCCCTGACGAATTCGGTCTCCTATGTGTCAACAATCCTGAACTTAGGCGTTTAGACGCTTTTTTGCTTTTTGAGAATGTTTTGTTAAGTTGATGTTACTTCTGTTGGCCTAGTTGGTCATTAAAGAGTTTGTCGCTGCAACTTATCTTTAAAAATCTACGTTGTTAATTAGTGATATCTGAAGGAATGGATGCTGAAATATAATTTTACGATCAAACGAACTTACCTGAAGTTCGATCGTAATTATATGAAGCATCCATTCCGAAGATATCACCTCCCACCCACCCGGGGCCCCGTTGCACGAAAACTCTTCTCACTTTGAATACAATGAGAGTATTGAGACGTGCGGAGTATGGGCCGGAAGGGGGGACTTTGTTTGCTTTTAAATCTTGTGGCATGGTGGTACAGAAACCGAACTACGTTGTTAATTAGTGATATCTTCGGAATGGATGCTTCATATAATTACGATCGAACTTCAGGTAAGTTCGTTTGATCGTAAAATAATATAGCGATAATAATAATAATAAGGAAGTAAAGGTCTAAGCAGTAATTGCTTTACCTTATCAATGGCATACATCTTTTCCATTTCTTTCAACAGACACTGTACCTTTAATAATTTTATTAAAAATGTGTACACACGCGACAAGAAATAATTTATGTGGGCTCGGTTTAGCCTTTTAGTAGGTAAATTTAAACATACTTGCATTTATTGGCGGCACTCTCATACACCTTCAGATGGGTTAAAATGGTACTGCAATATTTCTTTCTCTAAATAAACAGAATATCTTCTAATTTTAAATATTCTTTCGAGAATGACGAGCATGAAAAAATTCTTGAAATTTATTACTGTACTATTAAACAACGGTACATTATGAGGGAGGTTTATAGGTAAACGGAGTGTTTAATAATGGCAAATCTTTTCCTAATTCGATATAAAATATTCGATAAAATATAAAATATAATATTGCTGACAATGTACGATGAGTCTATTTATTAAAATTTTATATAGAAAGCAAGGTATTATGTATTACTGTGCTTCTTAGTACAGAACGTGTAATGCAGTTTAATAATAATTTTGGAGCTTACTACAGTATATAAATTATGCCCTATAGTTTTTTCTGTAATACCTACCGATCGTTCCAAGATTAATATACGATGAGATGCGCGTCTGGTGTCGAGATTTCGCGATCGTACGAAAGAAATAGATTCTAACTAAAAAAATATTCGCCGTAAACAAGATTTTTCAGTTGACATTTCCGGCATTTCACTACCGTATGACGTGTTATTTCCTTAGAGGCTTAGATCATAAAGGGGTTTACGGTGTTGTGGTTCATACTAAGCGCATTAAAAATTCTTACTGGTCTTGTGTTTTGAAATTGGATTTGGAATTTGGTGACAAAATCACACCGGTCACATTTTAAGTGCTGGCAAGGTCGATGTCTTGATAAATGTTATAGATGTTAAGACTGGATTTATGTTTGATGACGAAAGCGTACTGGGCACACTTTAAATTCTTGATCTTATATGTTAATAAATGTGTTTTATACCTAATTAAATTTACCATTTTTTTGCATAATCACACTGGACGGATTTTAAGTTGTTAGTGATCTTTTGGGTTACTTAAAATGCTATTGGGTATGCGTTTGTTTACGTGGAATTACGTTTGTATTATAATCAGAAAGGACAATCCGTCTTTTTTACTCGAATAAATTCTAAAATATATCTACATATTTAATGCCTACACCAGCTATTCTGAATAGATGCACAATACTTTTACTTTACTGGAACACTTCGATTTTTAAACTTGTATTACAAATCCTTTTGTTACCATGTTATTGCTAATTTCATTTTGTCCTCAAGGACAAGGTTTAATAGAAACGTACACGTTTATTTGTTTTATTTTGATGTAGGATATCTAGATTAATGTAATTGATGTGATTATAATAAGTTTGTTTGACAATTTTTTTTATATTAGGGTACTAACATGTTATATCATCGAAAATCTCTATCAAATAATGATTCTTATGAAAAGGTGCACTGCCATTTAAAAAAATTCAATTGTTTTTCGTTACTCATTTGTTTTCCGAAATAAAAATAACTGAATGCTGCCTACCGGCCCCCGAGCTTTTTAACTCGTCGCCCTCGAGATGCCCTTAATCATAAATAACTATTACGACCTATTCTCATACCTACCAGAATATGTACCAAAAAATTCATAAAAAGCGGTCTAGTAGTGTGACTACCTACAAACAACGTGACACGAAATTTTTATATAGGTATTACATTTGTTTAGTTTACGTTTAATTGCCATTGTCTTTTTTTTTCTGGTCCCAACTTGGCAGTATTGCAACATTATTTCTGTGCCCTTTGCCCCTATGTACGCACCACTGTTAATTTATTTTATGACATTCAGTACAATAATTATTTTTAATGACCCTCGAAAATTTCAAACATGCAGTGATAAATTCAACAACGCTGCAGCAAAACAAAACGCTGTTAATGAATGTGCTTCCATAAAGTGAATTTCAATTATGAAAACTTGTTACACCTCATTGAATTCAATAATCGTTATACAACTATTTAAATTAATGATCGACTACTTTGCGACAGAACACTTCTATCGCGTTACGCCCCACAAAAAGAATTACAATATAATCGAAGCAACAGTAAATAAATCGCCGACCACTCCAAATCCAATTAACGTACGTAAAAAGGGCCGTGCAATTATACAACCAATTTAAATATATGTACACCAAGAGCTATTCGATATTTGATCATAATTGCGCCAGTCCTTTCGGGTATTATTTTACATTGGTTGGCAATGTTTCAATTCATATCTGTTGTTGCATTAGCATTTTATAATTGATTTGTGCTCAATTAACTTTCGAATTTGTTTGCGGGTTGAAAATGAGGACAATGGCAAATCATTCTAATTGCGTTTTAAGGGTTGTTGGAAGATATTTTAGAAAAATTTTACCTACCTACCTATACCCTCAAACTACAGTAATGCTCTTTTACCCCTACATATGAAGACGAATAATTCAATTGTCATGTACCTATATGTATGAAGTCAAAGGGAGGGCAAAAATTTGATAACTCCACACAATTGTACTTGTATTTATTCAAAACGTAATTAATAAAGCCTAATTGCGTAAATAATGTGCCATTTAAACTTCGGTACCCCAAATGATATTATAATATGTAACTAAGATACGCCCCTTCATAAAACAAAAGGTTTAATTATAAAAGCATAATGAAGTCGCGTTTTAAATTATCTACGTGCTTGTGAATTTAACAGAGTTTAATAACCCAACAATTAACTTTTCCAAAGTTTATTTATAAATCTGAATAAACTGTACAAAACACTCGTGGCGTTTAATGTCGCGTTAATATACCCACTCGGGATCATTTACGCGATTCTAAAAATGTGCAAACACAAAACCGTAACTCGCATAACGTTTATGGAGCTAGCAAAATTTTAGAACGTCTCGACGCTTCATTAACTTTTTTAGATCTACATTTGTTCAAAAACCGTAAAAATATATGGGTAGGCTGTCAGATAATGCAGTGATTAGAATCAAATTAAGCACACAGCTTGTATTGTCAAAATCTGTATTCGATGATATTTCTCTGCCTATCGTAATAAAGAAGCAAAAACAGAAATCGGTAAAACATATTCCAACAAACACAATAATTATTACACAAGTATCGAGGGTGTTTTTAGTTTAAGTGTTTTATCTTTGCAAATTTGGAAGCTGGGGGAATAATGGCCAATGTAAAATAAAAAAAATGCAGCATTTAGAGAATAGTTCAGGTAGACAATATGTCAAATAACAAGTAATGACGTATCGATCAAAATAATTTGCATGCAACCATTATGAAAGAAAAACTTCACTGCACGAAAGGAACGAAATGCGTATGCAGAAAAGAAAAGAAAATCACGACCTCTAGCAGAGAAAATAAAAAAAATATTGTAAAAGATAATACTCGGATGGTCTCTAACGGCGAAAATAAAGAACTAATGTAATAACTACTATACTATATAAATATTACGTACGTCTTCAAAACGGAACACCTTCAATGAGTGAGATGAGATTCCAAAATTAGATAATCTAATACTTATTGTTAATTTGAATGTTGGGCTCAACCGGCGGGATAGGCGATGGCAAGCTGATAAGCACGTAGTCTGCACGACCTCGACTGGTTGTAATGCTCGTTTTAAATTACCATAATGAACCAAAATCATCTAATAATTACTTAACGGAACTGAAATTCTAAAATATGAATTCGCCCTCCTCCTTAAATGACTATAGAGCTTTCGGACGCAATACAGATAATTGAAATATCTTCACGGGAACAGTTTCGAACGGCGAATTAATTACAGCCTTTGTTTATGGTGACGGCGGCTGAAACACAACTCTAGAAATTAAATCAACTAGCTTTACCTTCTATCTTCAACAACTCCTAGAACCAACACAAATACTTTCGACACACCATTTTTCGTAACGAAGCACCCGACTTAAAACGCTTTAGATACCGGGCGTTCATCTACAGACTGTTAATTAAAACTGGTAACTGCAAGGGTGCTTAGTTACAAAGGGAGCATTCCTCCCTCTGACTAACTATATTTACTAATAATTCTAAATCCATAAACAAGAAGACACAGAATTAGAAACTTTGTTAAATTGTCACTTTAATGTTTTTTTTTAAACAGAAATTGTTTAAGCCAGAAACCTAATTTCAATTCCTGAAAAAAGTCTGCGTAGACATATCAATACATTGTATAGTGCTCGCAATAAGGCCCAAAGAGCACTAATGAAAGTTGTAATGAACCAAAATTATGTGCAAGTTTAGAGCTTTGAAAGTCAGGGTTTTAGAAAAATATACGGTATGGGGGCGTTAGGTTTACTGTACATACCAAAACAAAATGTTTGTTTGCTATGCATTCTAGAAAACTTGGTCTAAAAGAACGAGAACGCTTCACAAATTTAAGGTAAACGTTTTGCAAATAAACCATTTACTCAGATTCGATGTAATTTGATACAGTTTAATTACTACCTGCTGCCGATAGGTACGTATTAAGCATTATAACTTCCCGGAACATTATATCGAATAGTATATGGGAATTTTCCATATTGGATGCTCTCATATTAACAAGAGAGGAAAATCTGTATAATGTTCGATATACGACTTGATGCTGCAGAATTACAACGATAATCCCACTTGACAAAAGTGCAGCGCGCTAAGCGTCAAACAAACCGTTATCCCAAGTTTCCCAGAAGTTACCTATGTTTTCGTTCTAATTAGCTTTGTTGTTTAGTTACGACAGCCTATAAAATTTACAACCGTACCTTGTAGAACTAACTATCTAAATTTACAAAGTAGGGTGACACATAAATAATTAACGAAATTAAAATTGTTATTAGATTTTATAGACAAAGCTTAATGTGTCTAACCACAGCTTAATTAGACGACAACATAGAGAGCACAATATTTCC